CATTTTGCTGTTTGTTTTCTTTATACCTTATAGTGTTTTTGGCCTTCATTTCCTGTATTACTGTCTTTTGTGTTTAGTTGATTTTTATTGTGAAACCCTTAAATTTCTTTTTGTGTATATTCTGTGGCATTTACTTTGCAGTTACCATGGGGATTATGTTTAACATCTTACATTATGATACTCTAACGTGAATTTATATTAGCTTAACTTCAATGAGTTATAAAACTCTGTTGCTTTGCTCCATCCCCCACCCTTTTGCTTGTTGATAGCACAAAATTACATATTTATGCATTGTGTACCCCAAAACATAAGCTGATAACTTTTTGTTTTGTTTTGTTTTTTAAGACAGGGTTTCCTGTGTAGCCTAGGCTGGCCTCAAATTTATGAACCTCCACCTCAGCCTCCTACCTTCTGGGATTATAGGCATGTACCCCCATGCCTGGCTTAGCTGATAACTTTTGAAATACATTCGTCTCTTAAATTATGTACAAAACAAAATATAGAGTTGGAGCCAGAGTTACCATAATACTAGTCTTTAGACTAACAATTTTTAAAAATTATTCTCTTAAATAATGTTAGAAAAAAGTGTAGTTACAAACTGTTGTTATACAATATTAGCTTTTATAATTTCCTCTTTACTTACCTTCATTAAGGTCTTTATTTTATCATATGGCTTTGAGTTACTGTCTAGGGTCTGCTTATTTCACTCTGCATGACTCCCATGAGTATTTTTTGCAAGACAGGTCTAGTGATAACAGGTTCTCTCAGGGTCTCTTTATCTAAGAATATTCTAGTTTCTTCTTCACTTTTAAGGTAGTGTTGGCCAGATAGATATAGGATTCGTTGTTGACAGTTTTTTTTTCTTTTAGCAAGTTGAATTATTACCCCTCTGGGTTTCAAAGTTTCTGATGAGAAACTTGCTGATACTCATATAAGGAATTCCTACTATGTGACAAATCACTTCTTTCATAACTCTCTTTGTCTTTTGCAAGTTTGATTACAGTGTGTCTTGATGTAGATCTTTTTGAATTATTCTTTCTTGGAGTTCATTGAGCTTCATGGATCTTTATATTCATGTCTTTTTTTCAAATTTTGGTAGTCTTTAGCTATTATTACTTTACATATTCTCTTCACTCTTTTCCTCTCTTTTTCTCCTAGAACTTCCATAATGTGTGATAGGTCCATTTGATGGGGTTCAGTTTCCTTAGTTTCTGTTCACTCTCTTCATTCTCTTTTGTTTGTTTTTTAGACTCAGTAATTTCCATTGTACTGTTTTCAAGTTCCTTGATTCTGTCTTCTGCTTACTGAAGTCTATCTTTGAATTCCTCTAACGAATTTTCATTTCAGTTGTTTTTAAGTCCAGATTTTTTTGTTTCTTATTATGTTATTTATAGTTCCATTTTGTTTATGTGTCATTTTCTTGATTTTCTCCACATCTTCCTTCATTTCTTTGAGCATATTTAAGACAGTTTTAAAGTCTTTGACTAGTTGATCTGCAATCAAGTCTTTTGAAGGACAGTTTCTATTTTTTTTTTCTTTGACTTGACCATATTTTCCTATTTCCCTTTAAGCCTTGGGACTTTTTTTCTTGAAAATGTGAATCTAATAATCTGGTAATTCAAAATAAAATTCCAGGGTTTGCTAGTTTTCATCATTGGTTAGTGTGTGTGTGTGTGTGTGTGTGTGTGTGTGTGTGTGTGTGTGTGTGTTAAAACATTTTTATTAGCATATGTTAGTTGAACAGGTGGTTTTCACATTGTGATATTTCCAAATGTGCTTATAATGTTTTTGATTGTTATAGGCTGTCTGGATTGCCTTGAGGTGTAATCTTAAGGTCTCTCAGGTCTTTTTTGAGCCTGTGCCTTTACTAGGGCATGTTTGTTATTTACTTACTTTCCCTGTGTGTAGTTGCTTTTGAATGAATGTCCTACACTTTAACATCTGGCTCCCCAAAGAAGAGAAAGAAAAATGAAGAAAGGCTTTTTTTAAAAACGGATGCCAGCCGTTTAAGTCTCTGGAAGTCACTTCATCCCGAAGAAGGGAGTTGTAATAATGGGGAGAGGTGCAACCACAATGGCCACTTACCCCCCCATATGTTCTTACTCTGACAAGGTCCATGATGCCAATTAGGATCTTCTATCCAACATACTTCAAAATTTTTGATTACTCCCAATTTACTTTTACTAAAGTAAATAATTTTAACTAGGAAAAGGAGAATCATTACTATGTGTCTTTGCCAGCATTTTGCAGGATTCTTCCACTTGGGAACCTGGCCTTTTGTTCAGTCAGTTACAAGGATCGAATTGCAGGACATCCTCAAAGACCTTGGTACAAACTCTGGATCTCATCCATACCTGTTCTCCCTGTCACTTTCTTTGGTCGTGCTGGCCTTTTGTCATTTCTTGCATACTCCTGTGTATGAAGCATTCCTCCCCTGATGGCTTCTTCCTTAACTGCATACAACTCTTTTGTTCAAAATTTATTCCTAGAAAGGCCATTCCTGATCACTTGTCAAAAACAATTCCATTCTTACCCATCATTCTGTATCCATTTTAATTTTCTTAATAGTTTTTGTTAACTTACCATTTTTCTACTCATTTACCTGTTATTCTTTTCCTCTAGATTCAGACGAGCAGAAATTTCCTTTTTTCTCCACTATTTTCCAGGTATTTAGAATCTCAAACATGTAGTTGGCTCTCAGTATTTGTTCAATGAAATAATACTTTATTTTGAGAGATTTGAAAATATTTCATACAAAAAAATGCTTAGTTTTTTCCTATGTCAGTGGTACTTACTGATTTGTAAGTGTTTGGATGTGTATCACTTAATAAAATTGGTACATTAAAATTAATGAAAACTATAGCATGTTTAATTGAAAACTATAACTACTCAATAACTAATAAATGAAATTAATAACATAGAAACTAAGATTATTAAGTATTTATACAAAAATATATCCCCAAAAAGATATTGAAGAGGAGCATGATAACTATATGGAGTTATTTAAGGGAATTGTGGACTTTTGAAAGGACTGACTACTTCCTACAGTAATTTTAACTTTTCTTTAAAGACAAAGTTCTTGATTTTACCTTTAGAATCTACTAAGTCAATCTAATTTTGTATCGTGTGCTAGGCACATGTCCAGCATTTAGTAAGCCCTTAAAAAATTGAGCTATCATTTCCATCTATCACTATTTAGGGGTATTTCATGTCCTCTTAGTAGTTTAGTTTCTGAAGTTCTCAGTAGCTCTAAGGATAAATTCCTTTATCTTGAGACAGTACATCTCAATTTACACATGCAAATTAAGGATTATTAGACATATGAAATATAGGGCCTCAATAGAAGTGGAGTAGGCTGTTGGTATGATAAGCTAAATGCTGATATGTTTACTGAATGAGTTCATTCCTCAAAATTTTTACTTTGGATGAACATCTAATTCATCCTTAGGACTTAATTCTCAAGCATGTCAGCCCATATGTATATACTGAATTTTTATTTTTAAAATCAGTATCAAACTTGTTTACATTTTATGCCTTGATTATATTAGATAGCTTTTCTATGATGGAAGTCTTGGAAATACGACACCTGGTTTTCACATATTTAACCACTATCAGAGAGACTTTTATGGTAAAATGTAGGAAGTCACTTTAAAAATTTCAACACCTTCTTAAAATTGTTTTGTGTTCTTTCTGGTTACTGTCTACTTTTCTAGTAACTAGTGATTGTAGAGTAAAGGTTATATGGTTTTCTAATAAAATGTGTTCCACTTTACCCATTTGTTTGGTAAAATTACTGGTTTGCCTGATTGTTTTGCCATATGATTAATATTTATTAGTGTAGGTAGAATATTTTAAAGGCAAAATCAATGATGTACATTTGACTTCATGTGTCATTTTCTACCTTTTTACTGCTTATCCTCACTCAACTAACTTTCTAGGTATAAAGAGCTACTTGTACTTTACAAAGTTGCTGTTCAGATTATAGAACAGAGTGATTTAAATCTCACATTTGTAGTATACAACTTGTGTTTTCTTGGACAAGTACTTAATCTCTCAAAATCTCACTTTCTTCCTCATAAAGTGAGAATAAAATAGGACATTTCTTGTAAGTTTTATGAGAGTAGTGACATAATGCATATGAAATGCATAAGTGAACTCTTACTTTTATGTTATTCTCATATTATTCCGATGGGTATTCTTTTTTTCTTTCTTTTTTTGACAGTACCTGAGTTTGAACTCAGGTCTTTTTCACACTTGACAAACAGGCACTCCACTGCTTGAGCCAAGCCTCCTGCCTGCTGATAGTTACTCTTACTCTGACTGAAATTCATTCTTGTAGTCCTCTCTCATATCCCATTGAGCCATTCTCAGGTTTTAATATGATGAGGATAAGGAGGACAAGATTTTCATCTGTTGGTCTTAATTGTCACATCTCACTGGATCTTTCCATATATGGTTCCTTTGACCTAGTCTGTGCCTGCCTTTCAGTTCCTTTAATGCTTAAGGCTTATTCTTCCCTTCTGGCTAATTTTTCCTCTTTAGGCCTCAGCTTAAATGTCACTTCTTCAGAAAGTTAGCCTGTCCCATCACCTTCATGGCCGGTCTTCATCTGTAATTCCCATATTCCCATTACCTCTATTCCTCTGCTATATTCTCTTATATCACCTAGAACTTTTCTTGCCATCATTTTTATAGCAATTGTAATTAGTTATTTCTGTGATTAGTTACTTAATTGGCATCCCTACTTAGGAGATCATCTGTGAGGCCTTACAGGGAACCCTGTCTGTTAGATTCACATCTGCATTTCCAGTGCTTACAGTTAGTGCCCAGCATGTAGTAAGTGTTCAATAAATTATGTTGCCTTAATGAACAACTCATTTCTACCAACTACCATATCGAGTTAATTCTTTCACTCAGCAATATTAATACTGAAGTTTCTTTTTTATTTGTAAATAATATTATTACATTTGTAATATTGTTACATTTATCTTGTGAACTAGGAGCCTTTTGTGGCTGATGAGTATATTGAACGTCTTGTGTGGAGAACCCCAGGAGGAGGTTCTAGAGGTGGACCTGAAGCTTTTGATCCTAAAAGGTGAAGTAAACACGTTTTTTGTTTTGTTTTGTTTTTTATAACCCCAGTCTAGTACTACAAATTTGTGTTTAAAACACAGGTCATTATGTTGGGATTCTTTTCAACAGTCATTGTAAAGGGATTATAGTTAACAGTTGGCCAAAAGAACATACAAACAATATGAACAGAGCATCAGAAATTTGAAATTGTGATTTTCTTTTTAACATTCCTTTTATTTTAGAGAAGTACTTTAATTTTTATGAGGGAAGGGATTTTATTGAAAATTTGATATTCCAGCTACTAATAAATTAGAAAGGGTGGTTATACTTCCAAAATAGAAACATGGCCAGGTGTGATTGTGCATGCTTGTAACTGCATAAATCAGTAAGCTAAGGCAGGAGGAGTGCAAGTTCAAGTCCAGCCTGGGCTATATAGCGAGACATTGTCTTGAAATAAAGAACCACCAAATGATAAAATAAAAACAGGTTGAATATATTCTTTTAAATATAGTAGTTGTAAATTACACACTCTTTTGGAGTGTGTAATATTTGTATTTTGTACATTTACCTTCTTGACTGTTTTAAATAAGCTATAGAAATTGATTTTATTCTGAAGGTTTAATGGTGAATCTGGGTGAAGTTTGCATTTAACTAGATATACTCCATTGAAAAGTCAATAAAGAAAGACTGGATATATTTTCAAGTGCCAAGTTTTTTGTTTATTTTAAAGCTAGGTGGCCTGGAAAAAGCAAAGAAGAAATTATGACATTGCAAAAAGACTTGATCTTTAAGAGGAAAGGTTTTTTAGTTTGGTTTTGGTTTGTTTGGAGGTACTGGGATTTGAACTCCATACCTCAAGCTTGCTGTACAGGTGCTCTATCACTTCAGCCATACCTCTAGTCCTAAGATTTGATCTTTAGATTGAGGAAATTCCTAACAGAATGCTATAGAGAAATTATTAAGATTTTCCTTACAATTATAAGTGCACTGTTTATTTCTTTTTTGACTAATAATGGATAGATTGATACATATTCTAATTTTTGTCTTATTAGATTATTAGAAGAATTTGTAAATCATATTCAAGAACTCCAGATAATGGATGAAAGGATTCAAAGGAAAGTAGAGAAATTAGAGCAACAATGTCAGAAAGAAGCTAAGGAATTTGCCAGGAAGGTACAAGAGCTCCAGAAAAGCAATCAGGTAAACATTTAGCTAAGCAATGAATAGTTTATGTTGGCTATATTATTTTTATTTCCTAAGCTTTAAACTCTTAAAAGAGCCAAGTCAAATTATAGTAACTGTTGCAGTTTCTCTCTACCTGTCCGGTCCCATAGTATAAAATGTTAATGAATTGTTATCATGCTTTTGGCATTGGCTTGTTATGGATGTTGGTTTGGGAACCACAGTACTCCCTTTTCAGATTAGGGTGGTATCCATTCAAGGTGGGTCCTTGCTGTTCACCTCTAACAATGTAAACTTTCAAAAGTAATTGTTCTGCAGACCTGTACTTTTAGGAACTCTTTATTGCAATGGATTATTTAGGTAGTCGTTTGCATTCTCTTTAATCATAAACTAATACCAGACGTAGATCAGGTTTTTCCCTAGAGAAATCTGGTCTGAGTAGTTTCACAAATGTTATGAAATGTATGCCTGAGAATTCTAGTGTAACTTTGAGAAAAGTGGATGTAAAACCTTTCCTCAGTCCACTTTGGAGTAAAACCAAACCACTAGACTGGCTGTGGGACTAAGTAGCCCAAACTTCTTAGTCACTTCTAGGCACTAGAATTAATCTGGAATCTCCAAAGCCCTTTCACAGGCTGGGCTTAATCTGGAACTTGATTGCTCTTTATAAGTGTAGTTTTAAGTGCATTGTTGAACTCTGCTGCCTCCCAGGGGCCATTTGTTCTTCATTTTTGAGATTAGCAAACTGATTTCTGCTAAAACTTCATTTATTTGCATTCCATCACTTAAGCATATATGACTGTGAGAAAGTAATTAAGTCAGTAATCTAAATAAGATAAGCAGTGCAAAAGTTTTTTCAAGTAGTTGTGACAGTTTCCCTCGGTAATAAAAATAGTGTTAAGGGTTAGTCTTAACAAACTCTGGTGCCAGTCTGCCTGAGTTTGAATTGTAGCTCTGCCACATCTTAGTTGTATAATCTCAAGCAGTTCAACCTCTCTGAGCCTTATGTTTTTATCTGTAAAATGGGTTGTTACGGGAATTAAATAAGTAAATACATGTAATATATTTAGAGTAGTGTCTCATACAGAGGAAATCCTTAATAAATTATGTAGTTTTCCCTTCATTTTAAGGTTAGAAGAGAAAAATTGCTATTGACATTTTTTTCTTGTGCTGACATTTGAACTCAGAACCTCATGCTTGCTAGGCAGGCACACTACCACTTGAACCACTCCACCAGCCCTACTATTGGCAATTCTAAGACATTCATTGCACACCATTTTCATTTACCATAGAACAACCAGTGTTCCTTGGGACAAGTGAAAGAACATTCTTAGTAGAATAATTGCCTTTGTAGAATAATTGCTATAGTCTGGAAAAAGCAATTTTTACCATCTATTATTATCATTGCTTTTTTGGAGTAGGGCTGGGAGTGTTGAGACAGTCTTGTTATGTAGCTCAGGCTTGCTTAAACTCTCGGTCCTCCTGCCTTAGTCTCCCAAGTGCTGGGATTACAGGAGTGTACCACCATTCCTGACGTAACATTACTTTTTAAATATTAAATACTTTCTTTTTAATTAATACCTTTTACATCTGGTGTAGTTTTTAATCTTTTCAGTTTAGTTGCAAGAGAATTCTTCAACTGATCCCTTTGATCCTTAGTTAATTGTTTCAGAATCATTATTTAGGGCTGTATAGTGCAGAGTACTTTGTTAAACTTTGCTGTTTTGTTGATTAACAAATGTATGCATAATAAATACTGTTAAAATAGATAAAAGTGAAAAAATTTGCCGCTTGGTTAAAGGGTTTTCAGATCATATCCTGTTAATGGGCATGAACTGCTTCTGTAGGTCTCATACATAATTTGTATGTTATTCTTAGAGAGTAGTGAAGGGATTGGTAGTTTTTTTGTTTGTTTGTTTTGTGTGTGTGTTTGTGTGCTGCTGAGGATTGAACGCAGGGCTGTGTGTATGCTAGCAAAGGTCCTGAGCTGGCAGTTTTGTTTTGATGTGTATTAACTTACAAACTTAGTTCTCTGATTATATTTTATGCTTATGAACATTTTTCCTAGGTTGCTTTCCAACATTTCCAAGAACTAGATGAGCACATTAGCTATGTAGCAACCAAAGTCTGTCACCTTGGAGACCAGCTGGAAGGGGTAAACACGCCTAGACAACGGGCAGTGGAGGCTCAGAAACTGATGAAATACTTTAATGAGTTTCTAGATGGAGAATTGAAATCTGATGTTTTTACAAATTCTGAAAAGGTAAGCACTGTCATGGGATGAAAGCAAATCACCAGCAATTAATAATAATGCCCTAACTGTGAGCTCCAGTTTTGACTTTCCAGAGTCAGACTTCAGGTCCCTGACTTACTGAAAGTTTTTCTTGCTCTGAAATACAATTGAAGACAGTTGCCAGTAGAGTGCTGAAGTGTTGATATTCATATTTTTAATTGGTTTGCTTGGCATTTTTGTTAATGAAATTACATGTAGTCTGTAAGTGCTGATGTAACTTTATAATATTTCTTTACCATATTTGACTTTCAGTGTTAATGGAATTTAGTCTTTAAATAGTTAGATATCTTCAGGTGGTGGTAGGGTGATCTGTCCCACTCATTGATTTAGCTGAAATGTCTTTCTGTAAAGGAATTCAGAGCTTCTTGTTTTTATTACTTGAAAAAAGACTTATTAAAGAATTCTTTATCATACATAATTTTTTATTCTTACATGTAAAGGAAGTGGTTTGGATCATGGAGCATTGAAAAATTTGAGTTGTTTATGTTAGCTCCTAGTCACTTAAACATGGTCTATGGGTATATGGTATTGGCTGTTCTACAATCTTGAGAGAAGATAATCTAGCTTGCTTTCTTCTCCTCAGGGGAAAGAAATACAAATGCATGAAAAAAATGAACATTCTTAAGAATCCTGTATGTTCGTTGTAACATTGTTCACTCATATATTGAATAGAGCCTCCTTGAATTACTGCAGATTTATTCCATAGAATATCAGATAGCAGAATATTCACTTTGGATTAAACAACATATTTTTTGTGAGTAGGACTTTATAGGGTGATAGGATTTATAATTTATATAAATCTTTGAAAAAATGGTTACATGTGTGTAGATAACACCTCTAAAGAAATTACAGAATTTTAAAAAATGATTTTCAAGAATTATAGTTGTAATATAAATAGCCCTAATAAGATTAAATCAAGAAAAATGTAATGCTCAATTGTTTGTAAAATACTGACGGTATCTTTTGTACATTTATGTAGTTTTTTTATACATAAGACTATATAGGCTTGAACATTAAACTGTGTTTGAGGATAGTTTATGAGATTTTTACAAACTTTTCTAAAGATTAATATTTATCATACATTATAAAAGTACCTACTTGAAACATTATAAAATTCTGTTTTCTATGTAAAAAACTGGATATAATTCAGGTCTGATACCTTGGTTATTTTGGATTATACCTGTTGGATTGTGTACTATATTATGTTCTGTTATACCTGTTGGGTTGTGTACTGAAGATTATGTTCTGTTATGTATGCAGTAAGAATTAGCCTATTTATTTGAATTCAGCTCAGGATAGTCATTTAGAATCTATATTTTTACTTACACTGGCTGGTTTTATTTCTAACCTGACATATCTATTTGTATGTTTACTGTTTTCTTTAAGTCTTTTAATTATCCTCAAGTAATTAAGTAGTTCTTGGCGTTACTTATCAGAATATATTGTTAGTTCACTCACTTGATTACTCAGTCATCTGTAATTTTGGAAGAGTATTAGACTCTTGTAGAGCATTTTAAGTTTATTTTCTCTCTTTTGCTTCAGCTTCACTGTCTTCTATATCCCTTTTTCTTTTATTTTCTGTGTTCCTTCTTTTTTTTCTTTCAGTACTGGGGATTGAACCCAGTGCTTCCAGTATGCACTCTACCTCTATTATTTTCAGTTGCCAAATGCTCCCTCTATCCTGGTGCCCATGGGCACATGTATCACTGCCCTTTTGTTTTCCAAATAAGATCTTGCTAACTTTGCCTGAGCTGGCCTCCTACTCCCAATCCTGCTGCCTCCACCTCCTGAGTAGCTGGTATTGTAGCTACCACACCCAGCTAAGTTCTTTATTTTCTTGTACTTTATTCCTCTTCTCCCAGTTGCCTCGTTTTTCTATCATCTCTCCCACAAATTCTGATTTACTGTTTGCTAATTAAGAGTTGTCATGTTTTGGTCGGGTACTGTATAGCTAACCACACTTAAGCATTTATGATATTAGATTGACACTTACCAGATAAACTTCTAACCATCTCAGTTTCTGGATTCTGTGCCAGCCACCTGACACATAGAAAGAAAAGGAAAATCATCCTCATAGCTAGGGAAATAGGAGATTGTGGGAGGAATTAGAATGGGGTAAAATGCCAACACATCATATTCATTTTCCTTCTTGCCCCCTAGTAATTTTTGATTTTTAATCTTTTATTAATTTTTATTACTACATTAAAGAAGGTTGGCAGTCTTTTCCGAATCTTTTTATCCTCTTTCTTGGAAAAAAAAGTAATATATTTGTATACCTCTATTCTTATAGATATGTTGCTTGTTTTTCTTAGAATGGTAGCTTATTGTTCTTCCTGTAGATAAGGCCTAATGACCTGTTATTTTTAAAACTGTTTGATTGGGTAGTCACTCAGACTATTCTAATATTATTAACAGCATACTATTAGATTGTGGTTTTGACACTGTTTATATTTATTATTTTAGCTAACTATAGTATATTGTAACTTTAGACTACCTGTGCTGTAAGTAATTTTTACAAAATAATTAGCTATGAGGAGTCAATGAAGTTAGCATTATTTACTGCTGTACTACTTACTGCATTAAGCAAACAGTGCACTTCTTTCTCTTAAAAGAATAGGAACAAACCCCTGATAAACAGAGCTGGCTGTGTACTACCTCTGTTCATTCTGAAGTGGGTATTGGTAAGGAGACAATGATGGGCTTTGCTAGTACACTAAATGGCAGGGGGAGGAGCAATACTGCGATGACATGTGCCAGGGTACAGCAGGATAGAGAAAGTGGCAGCTGAAAATGACAGTGACCTGAAGAGAAGAGAGATAACTGAAGCAGGAATGTTCTCATTCACTGTTGTTTGGAATAAGAAGAAGGAACAGACCTGCTGCTATCCAGGTTCTTTGCTAGGTTTCACATGAGTACTTAGAAAAATTTATACTAGTGTTCTTAGACCTTCTTCATGTTTGTAAGGCTCTCTCTTTAATGTACGAGAAGATGAGTCATCATAAAATGTTATCAAGTTGTGCCAAAATAAATGTCAGCGCTAGTTTGAAATTTAAGGGAAAAGGTGATCATTACATAACTTCCCTACGCTGTTCCATAACAAGCACAAGTATCCACATTTATTTTTATTCTTAAAATATAGAATGCTTCATGAATTTGCGCAGGGGCCATGCTAATCTTCTCTGTATTGTTCAAGTTTTAGTATATGTGCTGCCAAAGCAAGCACCAGACATCCACATTTAAAAAATTGTAGACACCTTGCCTAACTTTCTACTCATTTCTAGCTTTATTTCATTCAGGAGATTTTAGATTAAACTTTATCTTTGCTTTTAGAACAGTTGTTATAAATTTATGTGCTTATTAAGTGACAAGCATTTTGTTACTGTTTTATTCATGTAGTTTAAAGTGGGCATGTGTAGTACTGTGTTCTAAATCATTTTCATAAATCTTGTTTTATTTTTCTTGGGTTCATAAACTTAGAATAAATTTATACTTTGCTTTAAGCAAGCAAGGATTTTAATTTCTTCAGAGTAAAGTTTGAACTACAGGTTTTATTGGGAACGAATTGTGACATTAAAAAAACCCACAGATTTTTAGTACTAGAAAGACATATTTGTGGTGACTCATTATGGTGATGCCCCAAATGTTTTCTTTTTGCCCACAAGGTTTTACTTGTGGGTTTTGAAAGAAAAATGTCTTGGAGGACTGTGGGCATATGTAGGGAAATATTACTATTTTCACATATACTACTAATTTTTGATATGCATATGTTTTTTAATTACTGCTTTCACTTATCTTTTAATAGATAAAAGAGGCAGCAGACATCATTCAGAAGTTGCACCTAATCGCCCAGGAGTTACCTTTTGATAGGCAAGTTTGTCTCAAAAGCTAACTTGGAAATATTTCTATATTATAATTTATAATATAAAATAAATATAAATATTATAACTTACAGAATAAAATTGCAGTTTTTTTCTTGTATGATTTTCTTTACCTATTAAATCAACAAGAATTTATTGAGCTCTTCCTTTGTATAAGATACGATATAAAATAGTTGACTGAAAAAGTATGGTCTACTGTTAATGTCTAAAGCTATACCTTGAAATAATTTCAGTGTCTTATTTGTGTGTGTTCATTTGTTTCTGTGGTCCTGGGGGTTGACCTGCTTTTAGTCAGGTACTCTACTACTTGAGCCACTCTACCAGCCCATTGTTTGTCTTTTGAAAAAAAATTGAAGGAGAGTTGTGAAGTGGAGTGAAGTAAAATTTTGAATTTTCATATTTTGGATTTTGAGAACCAGGGTGGTAAGAAATAGAGCTTAAGCTTAGGACTAGTAAGCTGCTTTTTCATTTCTAGATGAGGGTTCATAAGTTTGGGGGTTTGGGGCACCTTTGAAAAGCTGATGAAAGCTTGAAAGTTTCTTCAGAAAAATTAAGACACAAATAGATTGTTGTGTACAATTTTGTGGAGCTTTCACCTATATCCATAGAACCCTTTCTCTAGAGACTTCAGGTTAAGAACCTCTGTCTTTTTTTTTTTTCATTTTTCTTTTATTATTCATATGTGCATACAAGGCTTGGTTCATTTCTCCCCCCTGCCCCCACCCCCTCCCTTACCACCCACTAGAACCTCTGTCTTAAATGAAGGTTTCCAGGGCCATCAGTAAGTTGGATTTCATCCTATAATAAGCTGTCAACTGAGAAGGCAAGGTTTTCATGATTTGCTCTAGACCATGGTGATAGTAGTAGCTCCTTTAAGTGAATATCTGAAAGAAATGTGTTCTGTATAACAGATAATGTAGGTTAATTATTCTTCTTTAAATATTTAAAGATCTTCAGGTCCAGATAGAATATGGAAGTATTTTAATGCTTAAAGCTTAGCCACTATCTCCAAAACATACTGCGAATTCCTCCCCAAAATAGGTCTATTTTATTGTCAATCCTGTCAGCATAGAGAAATAGGAGTAATAATTTTTAAAATCACCCACCAAAACGTCTCATTATCTCATTTCATAATTAGCCTATTTATTTAAATGGGTAACATGTCTAGCTCTAAACAGGTACATGCTAATAGTTGGCCGCACCCCCCATCCTTCCCTCCATTCTGTTCTCCTCTGGAACATGCATATTCCTTAAGTTCATACTTCTCTTACAGATTTGTTTGTGTTTTTCTATGCTGGGGATTGAACTCAGAACCTTAAGCATGCCAGGCTAGCCTTCTTCCACTGAGCTATATGCCTAGCCTTCTCTTGCAGTTTTGTTTTAACCTCTCTACCAAGCCTTGGAGTTGAATATGTTTCCTAATCAGGTCTTATTTTTTTCACATAGATCAGTATGGCCTTAAAATGTATTCTGTGATATACCGTGACTATTTTGGGGGTACTGTGAATTGAACTTAGAGCCTCACACTTGATAGGCAGTCATTCTACCACTTAAGCTATGCTGCTAATCTTTTCTTTTTTTTTTTTTCTTTTAGATTGTTGTTTTAGATAGGGTCTAATGTTTTGGCCTGGGCTGGCAGTGAACCTCAGTCCTCCTAACTCTGCCTCCCAAATAGCTGGGATTATAAACATGAACCACTATGCCTGTCCTCCACCATGACTTTGACATACCATTTTTATATAATTCTCTAAAATTTTAATTCCTTCTTCACCTGCCTTTAGCATCTCTTTTTCCAGCCACTTGCCAGTCTTAAATGATAGATCTCTCAACATCAGTTTTCCATGATGTACAGTTTTCCTAGATATTTGACATTTGAAGAGATTTTAATGTATGACATTTTAGTTTTTGACTTTGTAAGACTGGTCTATGGTTAAACCACCCTGAAAAATGCCTGATCATGTCTGAATTTGCTCATTTGTCACATTGCTGGATTCTTTTATGTCCTCTCATTTTTCTAGTTTTAAATTCATTTGTCATTTTTATCATTAGTTATTTTATTTTATCATTTGTTATTACTCTATCTTATCATTGGTTTTCTTTCAGATTATTATGCTTATTATTTATAACAATCAAGTAAATTTAAAGTGGGAAAGGATAGGGATCTAGTTTTGGGACTGGCTGGGTTCTTAGTGCCTCCTGCAGAACTGTGCCCTCTTCAGCAAGGGAATTGATTACTCAGTGTGAATTTCCTAAATGAGAAACATACCCTATCTGAAATGCCTAAGTTCAGTTTTGTTACCTTACATACTTCCTACCAGTACTATCTCCTCTGACTTTGTCTTTTTCTTTTTTATAGTTATCTTTTAATTTTATAATAGTTTTAGATTCACAGAAAAGTTGCATAGATAATAAAGTTCCCATATACCCCCACACCCAGTTTCCCCTTTTGTAACATCTTACGTTATCATGGTATGTTTGCTACAACTAATGAACCTCATCATTATTTTTATCTTTCAGATTTTCAGAAGTAAAATCCAAAATTGCAAGTAAGTGTAATCTACTTACTTAGCTTTTCTTTTCTTTCTTTTTTTTGGTGGTACTGGGGTTTGAACTCAGGGCTTCATGCTTGCTAGTCAGGCACTCTATCACTTGAGCCATTCCACCAGTTCAGCTTTTATGTTTTCGAGTAAGTAAAAAGCTACTCATGTAAAAGAAAAAAAAAATTAAGAAAAGAAGAGAATTGGGAACAATGTCCTCTTCCCTTCTAGTCCCTGTGTTTGAGTCTCCTTTCCTGAAAACAACTGGTTTTTTGGATATTCTTCTAGAGTTTTTATGAATTTATAAGCGTAAGACTTAAATCATGTGCATGTGCACACATACACACACACATCTTCATTTGTTTAAAAATAATTGGTAGCAAGTAGCTGTAGATTGTGTTTTTAAGTTAAAATGTATTTTTAGAGATTGTATTCACACATATATCTCTAAATAAGATAATAAGGTTCTTTCTTTTTTAACCCTAGGACATTATCAGCATTTCAATACCTATTTAACTCCTTACATGATTAGTTTGGTTCTTGTCAATCTTTGGATTATATTTCAGGCTAGATCATTTAAGTTTCTGAACACTTACCATATTTGTAGGCTTCATCCATGGTAGCCTGTGTCATTGTTTGGTAGGCCATTTTCATAGAAGGTAAAGAACCACTGATATTTCCAAAAGTCTTAGAATAAGGACTTCTAGGATAAGAACCATAATAGCTTTAAGAATACAATCAAGTATTGTATTATTATCTTTTTTGTTGTTTTTGGTGGTACTGGGGTTTGAACTCTGTTTTGCACTTGCTAGGCAGGAGCTCTACCATTGGAGTCACTTCTCCAGCCCATGTATTGCATATTATCTTAAGGAATTTGATGTTTAATTTTACCATTGTTATAGTAGAGGCATCTGAGCTCTAATAAAGAGTTTCATAGTCCTCCTCACTCTTTCCTTAGCTTTAGCTGTAAGGTTGAAGATTTTAAAGAATATTTTTAATCTTTTGCTGTCAGAATTGGCATCTAGAAGGTTTCCTACCTACCTTCCTTCTTCCTTCTTTTCTCTCTCTCTCGATATAGTTTGCTGCTGGTTTGATAGTGGTAAATAGTAGTCAGAATCTGGGGAGCTCAGCTGTCTTACCAGTTTGGAAGGCTTTTTTCTGTCTTGAAAATACAGATTTGTATACCTTAGGAGCTAGGTCTATAATGTGTTTATACTTCTTCCAAAAGAAGGCAGATCCATAGTTATTGCATTTGTAAATAATTTAGATACCTGTACATAACTTGGATACTTTGAATGCCTCAATGTAGCCAGATTGCTTTCTGTTTTTAGGTAAATACCATGATTTAGAATGCCAACTGATTCAGGAGTTTACCAGTGCTCAAAGAAGAGGTGAAATCTCCAGAATGAGGGAAGTAGCAGCAGTTTTACTTCATTTTAAGGTAAATGTTAAAAATTTAAAATGAAGACTAGTCTTTAAGGTTGTAGAGATTTTTTACAAGTTCTGTGTATTAGTCTCTGAAATTCCCCTATTTGTTGTGTAACTGTATCACAGTAATAACTGTTTTGAACATCTTGAATATGCATTTTATATATATCTCTAAATGATGTTAAATATTAGGTATTTAGTAAATAAGGATTTTTACACTTAGTAATATTAATATATGAACAAGTTTTATACAGTTTGATAAAGAAGATCATTTCATCAATTTTTTAATGCATTTTATTTAGTCAAACATGTTACGAAATAGATCAGAAGCAAGAAAATCTGACCATAATTACCTGGTGGTATATAGGAACCAAAGAGTAGATGGAATTTGACTGTATAATGAAATCCAGGGGTCTCAGGTGATTAATAAAAAGAAATGTATAATGGAGCTGTCTTCCTGATAGTCTAGTTAGGAAGAGAATCCCTTTGTGGGTGTATATTTCTGTAAAGAAGGTGCTTAAAGAAATAATTCTTCCTTCAGTCTGTTTCTTCATGTTTGTATCAGGTTAAGAAAATGGAAGCTGTTTGTTAGACTTTTCATTTTGGTAACATGAATGAGTATCAAGAATAGTTTTTGAGACATTGGTGCCCTTTGTATTGCTTAGCTTACTAGTTTTTAATGTATAATTTGTTAATAGCCAAATATCTTATTATATTAAGCTTAATGTATTACTTTGTTTTAAACACATTTTATTGAAATGGATTCAGTTTTAAAAGTATTTTCAGATGGCTAGTTAAATACAGCTCTGTACAGATCCTTGCAAAGGAAAGGAAATGTTTTGAACGGAGAGGACAAAATGGAATATGTGTATGTATGTAAAAACCTTTTCTAAAGACCTCGAATCTTTGTATGTGGGCATGTGTGTACATGCGTGCTTTTGTGCTCGTGTGTGTGTGTGTGTTGAAGTTGAAAGAGATGGCTAGAAGGGATCACAAGGCAAAAATTGTTGCAAAGAACTCAGTTATACTTCAGCTTTCTTCATCTAAAGTCCCACAAGGATATACCAACTGGTCAATTTTATCATAGAAAGTAGGAGAAGACACCACCCATGTTCAGTTATGGGTTCTCTACAGATAATTTTATTTAATTCCAACAACTGTTGGTCATTCACTTGGGCATAGATATAATTTTATTACATATAACATTTTTATTGAATTTGTTATTATTATAATAAAACTTGAACAATGTTGAAACGATGTGTTTCTTCTTCTTAGGGCTATTCCCATTGTGTGGATGTTTATATAAAGCAGTGCCAGGAGGTAACTTGGCAGTTTACTTTATTGAATTTTATTTTATGATAATTTATATTTTAAAACTATTTAAAGTTATGTATTCACTATGTAAAATGCTTCTGCCGTTTAGGGTGCTTACTTGAGAAATGATATATTTGAAGACGCAGCAATACTCTGTCAGCGAGTGAACAAGCAAGTTGGAGATATCTTTAGTAATCCAGAAACCGTACTAGCTAAACTTATTCAGAATGTATTTGAAATCAAATTACAGGTAATTTTAAATGTGACAAATTCAACAGATCTTAAGTCAGTATGTGATATTTTTTCTAGAATTTTTAAAAATTTAGTTATATAATGACTTTAGGAGTACCTTAGGAATAGTAATCTATTTGCTTAAGGGGAAAGGAATGATGTAATAGCACACTTTTTGAAAGCTGGTTTGTTATTCCCTGAAGGAAAGGTGCTAATCGCTTAGTATCATTAGAGCATATGCTTGAAATTTGTTATCACAGTAGTAGTAGTACTAGTAGTAGTAAGATATTTTCAGATCTTCTCTTTTGTTTTGTTTTGTTTCTCACCTTAACCAAAAGATGACATTTGGATATTGAATGTGAATTATAAGTAGGGTCTGTCTGTGTAATTTTTTATAAGATAGTGCTACCATGGAAAGGGAAAATAGTAATTTAATTTACGACCTTTGCTCCCATAGCACTGTACTTTCAGACAGCATTTCCTAAACTGTATTTACCACTGGATTATCCAACATGCAGTAAGTGTTTTTTAAACACAATTCAGGATTTGAATAGCCTTTAAAGATGCTAATACGTGTTGTGATGCTCTAGAAGTTGGGAATGTTATATACAACATTTCCAGCATTTACTGACCAAGGAATCCTATTTAGAGTAATGTCTATTAATGTCTCAAAGGACACTCGTTTTACTTACACCGCAGTTGGGAAATGCTTTACCAAAGATTGACTTTAATGGTGTTTAAAAAGAAAAAGTATTCTGTATTCTTAATGCTTACTCCCAAGACTGATACAGATCTTTTGTAGGTAAATATGAGAAGAGTAAAATTTTAAAACCTGAATTTTAAGTTTTTTTTAGGGCTGATATATTTTCCATGTGTTACCTTTCTGATTGGATTTTAAGAGTAATACAAAACTGCAGTAATTTTAGAGGAAAAATATATAGAAAAGTTGTACAATTTAATAGTTAACTAATAGAATTTTCTTTCTTTTTTTTAGAGTTTTGTGAAAGATCAGTTAGAAGAATGTAGGAAATCGGATGCAGAGCAGTATCTCAAAAATCTCTATGATCTATATACAAGGTACATTTTTAATTATTAGAAAATAATAATAGATACAGATTTCCTCTTTTTTTCTTTTAAAGTAGAAAATGGGAAAGTATTCAGTCATTTTGAATGACACTTTGCACATAGCACTATTTTTTTTAGCATTTAATGCTTGACTGTGTAGTCTAGAATTTACAAGAACAGCAGCAGCATTCTTTGTACATTAACTTTAAGAATTGAGTATCATGATTTATCTTTTTTTTTTTTATTCATATGTGCATACAAGGCTTGGTTCATTTCTCACCCCCCCCATGCTTTATCTTAATGTACTAAGAAACAGAGGACCTTGTTTAAAACTCAAGGATTTTGTTTCTGATTTTAATTGTGAGCTAGTTCTCTGTTATTTTTTGTTTAGAATTTGTATAATTACATTTATCTACAGTTAAATTTTCAGAAATTGCAGAAGGAAGTGACATATCCTTAACAAATGACAATTTCAGCCATAGGTCTGATGCAAGTTTGTCTTGTCCTTTTGTAAATGACAGAGGTATTTTTATAGAGGTATTATCTCAGAAGCTTCCTGTAGGGTCCCTTTATCTTTTTAACTCTATTGCTATCCTTCTGTCTCTTTATCTTGGGAGAAGATTCATTCAAAATAGCAACAGTGCCATCTTTAACAATGAGAAATAAAAATTTAGAGGAGAGTACACGTGAACAAACAGATAAGGTGAACAGAGAGTAAATATCTCTATACTGTTTGGGTACCTGTGATGAATGACATTAGACTGTACTTGAGGGCATTCTGCCACTGTTGCCATTTCTAGACTGGATCATTACTTCAGTTTCTTCTCCTAGGTCAGTCCTAAGAGTTTATGATAGTTTCTAACCATAATATTATTTGTAATACTCCATTCTACTTTGTATATTCCCTGTACAGCTGCTCTCTGCATCCTAAGTTCTTTCTCTCCCAAGGTTTAAGAAATGGTGGTTTAATATAAGTCATTAAAGACATTGTAAATACATATATGTATATGTATCCCTTAGTATTATTACTATACCTAAAATATGCATTAATCTTTTTCTTCCCTTTTTCCATGAAAAGAACCACCAATCTTTCCAGCAAGTTGATGGAGTTTAATTTAGGTACTGATAAACAGACTTTCTTGTCTAAGCTTATCAAATCCATTTTCATTTCCTATTTGGAGAACTATATTGAGGTAGAGACTGGGTATTTGAAAAGCAGAAGTGCTATGATCCTGCAGCGCTATTATGATTCAAAAAACCATCAAAAGAGATCCATTGGCACAGGAGGGTGAGTTCTTTTAATTAAATATTACAGTTAAAACTGAAGACATTAGGAACATTATTAAATTTGGGCAAAGTTATCAAATATTGTCACTAAGATTTTCTATGAACAACTCTTTAACCTATAGTATTGATCACATCCTGCTTTTGCACTGTGTTGATTAACATGATTAAAATATAAAGTAGATATTTGTCAGTTAAAAACATTTTAATATAAGACATAATAACAGTAATACAGAGTTCTGTAGTTTCTCTTTTCCCCCAGAGTAAATTACTCTAGGTTATTAACTAAGAATCACATTTTGTTGTTGTTGTTATTGTTGCAGATATGACAAAAAGAGCAAATAGTTCACAATTCAGGTAGCCTTCAGTTGATGAGGTTTTTGGATCACTTGGACATAAAACTATTACATTTGTATTTTAAAGCCTGCAACTATTTGCATACTAGGAGAAAATGACTAGCTGAAAGAATTGGTGGCATCTCAGTTGTCTAGGTCTTCACTATTGGGAACCTAGTTGATTCTAGAAGGAGGCAGAATGACTTCATATAGTCAGAGTCCACAGTCCACAAACTACATACCTAAATAATTTTGTTTGCCAGTTTGTATTATATACAATTAGAGGTAAGATTTAAGAACTGAAAGGCAGCAGCAAGAGAAGCTAACGAATAGTCACAGCTAGCGCCGGTGGCTCACACCTATAATCCTAGCTACCTGGGAGGTAGAGATCAGGAGGATTGTGATTTGAGGCCAGCCCAGGCAAATAGTTTGCCAGACCCTATGTCAGAAATACCTAACAATTAAAAAAGGGTTGGTGGAGTGGCTCAAGTTGTAAGTCCTGAGTTCAAGCTCCAGTACTGCAAAAACAAAACAACAACAACAATAATAAAATAAAATTAAATAAAGCACAGTCATAAGACCTAAAAAAAAAAAAAAAAGACAAGGTAACAATAGTCTGGAGCAGTATATTCTGGGAGCAAAAATGTTTAACCTGAAGATACATCACATATTAAATGTTCCAGGTGACCATCACTCACTGAGAAAAGCTAAATTATGTTTAATAGATCTGGTTAATATAGTGAAGAAATATGTAATGTGTTTAGATGGTTACATTTAAAACAGGATCTCACCTGTAGCCCAGGCTGACCCCGAACTTGCAGGCCTGCTACCTGGGCCTCTCAGCTGCTGCTGGGATTATAGTTTTGTTTTGATAGCACTGGGGTTTGAGCTTAGGCTCAGAGGCTTATGCTTGCTAAGCAGGTGCTCTGCCACTCGAGCCACTCTGCCAGCCCTTAAATGATTACATTTAAAAATCACTGAAGGTTTTGTTTTATTTTTAAACAGGATTATTTAGTTATCTGTAATGTTAGCTGACTTGAGATAGCTTACTTCCTGAGGAAAACTAAGTTCCTAGCTGTTAGAATTCTAAACTTTAAAGGACTTAAGGGATCATAACTCCAAATATACTCATTTTTCAGATGAAAGTTCATAAAACTGGTTGCTGCAATTAGAACTTAGATCTTTTATTATTGATCCTTTTTTCTGTTGCTAATGTACACTAAATTTGAGAGTACTGTAGTTGAAATCTCTATATGGTAAAGTGTTCTTTTTCTCATTTGTCTTATGATGTACTCTAGTATTCAAGATTTGAAAGAGAGAATTAGACAACGTACCAACTTACCACTGGGACCAAGTATTGACACACATGGGGAAACTTTCCTGTCCCAAGAAGTGGTGGTTAATCTTTTACAAGAAACCAAACAAGCCTTTGAAAGATGTCACAGGGTAAGAATGATTGTAAATTTATTTTATTTTACTTATATGTAGTTGTATATTTTGTTTTACCTTGTGTACACACAGATACAAAATCTACTTTCTGGTTAGTAACAACATTTTCTTTTCTTTTTAAAATTTTTATTATTTGCAGTACTAAAGATTGAGCTCAGGGCCTCAAGTGCCCTACCACTTGAGCCATGCCTATTTATTTGTTTGTTTGTTTATGTACTTATTTATGTGGAACTGAGATTTGAATTCAGGACCTTGTGCTTTCCAGGCAGGCACTTCACCACTTGAACTACACCCCCAGCCCTTTTTGCTTTAGTTATTTTTTGAATAGTGTTTCACATTTATGTCTAGGCTAACCTGGACCTTGATCCTCCTGTTTCTGCTTCCTGTGTTGCTGGGTACACATGCCACTGTACTTAGCTTTCATTGGTTGAGGTGGGGTCTCATGAAATTTTTACCTGGGCTGGCTTTGAACTATTATCCTCCCGATCTCAACCTACCAGTTAGGTAGTAGTGTAGGCGTGAGAAACTGGCAGCTTTTTGATTGACATAATTCATACACAAGTTATACATACTTACGGGGTACCATGTCATGTTTTGATAGATGTATGCATTGAGTAATGATCAAGTCAAGGTAAGCATATGTATCTTCTCAAACATCATTTTTTTGTGGTGAAAACATTCAAAATTCATTCTTCTAGCTTTTTACAATAAATAGTCTATTATTATCTGTAGTCATCCCACTAGTGCAGTAGAACACCTGACATTATTTCTTTTACCTAACTTTAACACAGTACTTGCTGACCAACTTTTCCCTACGAATCACAATCCTCCTCCCTTCCACTCTCCTAGCCTCTGGTGACCACTGTTCTACTCTCCACTTGGGTGAGATCACCTTTTTTAGATTCCACATGTGAGCAAGATCATGCAGTTACGCCATTGCATTGGAGTGTACCCCTTTAAGTTTATTAATATTTGTTTTATATATTTCGATGCTCTAGTATTGGGTGCATATTTATTTTCAGTTGTTAATTTCTTTTTGCTGAATTAACTCCATCATTATATAATGACTTTTCTTGTCTCTTTTTTAACTGCTTTTGTTTTAAAGTCTATTTTATAGGATAGGAATATGATTACACCCACTTTCCTTTGGATTCCATTTGTGTGGAATGTCTTTTTCCTTTGCTATAGTCTGTAGTTGTCTGCAGAGGTGAAGTGAATTTTTTGTAACCAGTATATAGTTGTCTTATTTATTTTACCCCTTTAATCACTATGTCTTTTACTTGGAGAATTTAATCCACTTACATTTCAAATAATTATCCATAGGTAAGGTCTTACCAGTGCCATTTTGTTACTTGTTTTCTCTTCTTTATAGTTTCTTTCTGTCTCCCTCTCTTTATAGACTTCTTTTGTGGTTAAGTGACTTTTCTCTAGTATGTTTTGATTCTTTGTGTATTATTTTTGGTGTCTATTAAAGGTTTATGCTTTGTGGTTCAATGAGACTTTTAAAAAACATCTTTCAATTATAACAAACAATTTTGAACTGATAGCAACCTAACTGATTGCAAAGAGTAGGAAAAGAAACAAACAAAAAAAAGAATAATTAAAAATATCTCTATACTTGTATCCATTCCTTTTTACATTTTGAATTTTTTGATGTCTCATTTCACATTTAGTGTAGTTATTATTGCTTTTGCTTTTTAGATTTTATGCTGTGATTTTTATGGTTTATATACCATGTTTACATTATCACAGCTTTCTGAATTTATCTTTGTAGTTTTGTTCTTTGGGTGTTTTCTTCCTACTTGTTAACATCTGTTTCAGTTTGAAAAACTTACATTAGCAGTTTTTCTAAGAGAGGTCTGGTAGTGATACTCTTAGCTTTTATTTGTCTTGGAATGTCCTTTACCTCTCTCTTACATTTCTAAAGGATGTCTTTGCTGAGTATAGTATTCCTGGTTGCAGTTTTTTCCCTTCAGCACTGTGAATATCTCATTCCACTTCCTTCTGGTTTGTAAGGTTTCTGCTGAGAAGTCTGATATCAGACAAATTGGAACACCTTTATGTGTTATTTCTTTTTTTCTTGCTGCTTTCAGAATCTTCTTTCTGCCTTTAGCCTTTGAAAGCTTGGTTATAATGAGTCTTTAGTTAGGCTTGATTGGGTTATATCTGGTTGACTTTTGACCTTCCTAAGCCTAGATATTTGTATCCTTTACTAGGTTTGGGATGTTTTCTGTAATCTTAAATAAATGTTCTACCCTTTTGGCATGTTCAAATCCCTCTTTAATCCCAATAACCTGAATATTTGCTTTTTAAATGCCATCCTGTAGTTTGTATAAAATTTCTTCATTCCTCTTCGTTCTTTCTTCCTTCTCTGACTTTGTATTTTCAGGTAGTCTGTTTTAAAGCTCATTGATTTTTTTTTTTCATTTTTCTTTTATTATTCATATGTGCATACAAGGCTTGGTTTATTTCTCCCCCCTGCCCCCACCCCCTCCCTTACCACCCGCTCCCCCCCCTCAATACCCAGCAGAAACTATTTTGCCCTTATCTCTAATTTTGTTGTAGAGAGAGTATAAGCAATAATAGGAAGGAACAAGGGGTTTTGCTGGTTGAGATAAGGATAGCTATACAGGGCATTGACTCACATTGATTTCCTGTGCGTGGGTGTTACCTTCTAGGTTAATTCTTTTTGATCTAACCTTTTCTCTAGTACCTGGTCCCCTTTTCCTATTGGCCTCAGTTGCTTTAAGGTATCTGCTTTAGTTTCTCTGCATTAAGGGCAACAAATGCTAGCTAGTTTTTTAGGTGTCTTACCTATCCTCACCCCTCCCTTGTGTGCTCTCGCTTTTATCATGTGCTCATAGTCCAATCCCCTTGTTGTGTTTGCCCTTGATCTAATGTCCACATATGAGGGAGAACATACGATTTTTGGTCTTTTGGCCAGGCTAACCTCACTCAGAATGATGTTCTCCAATTCCATCCATTTACCAGCGAATGATAACATTTCGTTCTTCTTCATGGCTGCATAAAATTCCATTGTGTATAGATACCACATTTTCTTAATCCATTCGTCAGTGCTGGGGCATCTTGGCTGTTTCCATAACTTGGCTATTGTGAATAGTGCCGCAATAAACATGGATGTGCAGGTGCCTCTGGAGTAACAGTCTTTTGGGTATATCCCCAAGAGTGGTATTGCTGGATCAAATGGTAGATCGATGTCCAGCTTTTTAAGTAGCCTCCAAATTTTTTTCCAGAGTGGTTGTACTAGTCTACATTCCCACCAACAGTGTAAGAGGGTTCCTTTTTCCCCGCATCCTCGCCAACACCTGTTGTTGGTGGTGTTGCTGATGATGGCTATTCTAACAGGGGTGAGGTGGAATCTTAGTGTGGTTTTAATTTGCATTTCCTTTATTGCTAGAGATGGTGAGCATTTTTTCATGTGTTTTTGGCCATTTGAATTTCTTCTTTTGAGAAAGTTCTGTTTAGTTCACTGCCCATTTCTTTATTGGTTCATTAGTTTTGGGAGAATTTAGTTTTTTAAGTTCCCTGTATATTCTGGTTATCAGTCCTTTGTCTGATGTATATTGGCAAATATTTTCTCCCACTCTGTGGGTGTTCTCTTCAGTTTAGAGACCATTTCTTTTGATGAACAGAAGCTTTTTAGTTTTATGAGGTCCCATTTATCTATGCTATCTCTTAGTTGCTGTGCTGCTGGGGTTTCATTGAGAAAGTTCTTACCTATACCTACTAACTCCAGAGTATTTCCTACTCTTTCTTGTATCAACTTAAGAGTTTGGGTCTGATATTAAGATCCTTGATCCATTTTGAGTTAATCTTGGTATAGGGTGATATACATGGATCTAGTTTCAGTTTTTTGCAGACTGCTAACCAGTTTTCCCAGCAGTTTTTGTTGAAGAGGCTGCTATTTCTCCATCGTATATTTTTAGCTCCTTTGTCAAAGATAAGTTGCATAGTTGTGTGGCTTCATATCTGGATCCTCTATTCTGTTCCACTGGTCTTCATGTCTGTTTTTGTGCCAGTACCATGCTGTTTTTATTGTTATTGCTTTGTAATATAGTTTGAAGTCAGGTATTGTGATACCTCCTGCATTGTTCTTTTGACTGAGTATTGCCTTGGCTATTCGTGGCCTCTTGTGTTTCCATATAAATTTAACAGTAGATTTTTCAATCTCTTTAATGAATGTCATTGGAATTTTGATGGGAATTGCATTAAACATGTAGATTACTTTTGGGAGTATAGACATTTTTACTATGTTGATTCTACCAATCCATGAGCATGGGAGATCTCTCCACTTTCTATAGTCTTCCTCAATCTCTTTCTTCAGAAGTGTATAGTTTTCCTTGTAGAGGTCTTTCACATCTTTTGTTAGGTTTACACCTAGGTATTTGATTTTTTTTGAGGCTATTGTAAATGGAATTGTTTTCATACATTCTTTTTCCGTTTGCTCATTGTTAGTGTATAGAAATGCTAATGATTTTTCTATGTTGATTTTATATCCTGCTACCTTGCTATAGCTATTGATGATGTCTAGAAGCTTCTGAGTAGAGTTTTTTGGGTCTTTAAGGTATAGGATCATGTCGTCTGCAAATAGGGATATTTTGACAGTTTCTTTACCTATTTGTATTCCTTTTATTCCTTCTTCTTGCCTAATTGCTCTGGCTAGGAATTCCAGTACTATGTTGAATAGGAGTGGAGATAGTGGGCATCCTTGTCTGGTTCCTGATTTTAGAGGGAATGGTTTTATTTTTCTCCGTTAAGTATAATGCTGGCTGTAGGTTTGTCATATATAGCTTTTATAATGTTGAGGAACTTTCCTTCTATTCCTAGTTTTCTTAGAGCTTTTATCATGAAATGATGTTGGATCTTATCAAAGGCTTTTTCTGCATCTATTGAGATGATCAAGTGGTTTTTGTCTTTGCTTCTGTTAATGTGGTTTATTACGTTTATTGATTTTCGTATGTTGAACCACCCCTGCA